GGGGGCCGGGGCCCCGGCGGCAGTCCCCGACCCCGCCGGGCTCCCTGCATCCGTCATGGATGGGGAGGGACCGAGCGAGGGAGACGGAGCCAACCACGCCGGCCGGGCCATAAACAGAGACAGGGCAAATGCTTTTAGTGTCTCCAGCGCTGGAGCTGGGAAGGGATGTGGGGACATCGGAGGAGGGCAGCACTTCTGGGCTCCAGCCCATCCCGTCACGTGCAAACGAGCCGTGCTGGTGTGGATCCCTGAGCAGGGTTCCCATTTAACGCCCTCCGAAGTGAGGGAGTGAGTAAAACCGCCGGCATCCTGGGGAAGCTGAGTCAATCGTTTCCTCTTGCTGCCCCGCGGTATTTTTAATGGTGCGGTTATCCGGTGCCCGGGCGGTTGCTATTTATTTCCGTACCCCGCAGGGGTGCACGCAGGTGCTGACCCACCCAGGGACCAGCCTCCGCAGGATCCGGCTCAGGTCTAGACCTGTTGGAGCGGGTCCAGAGGAGGCCACAAAAATGATCAGGGGGATGGAACACCTCTGCTATGAGGAAAGGCTGAGAGAGTTGGGGTTGTTCAGCCCGGAGAAAAGAAGGCTCCGGGGGACCTTATTGCAGCCTTTCAGTACTTGAAGGGGGCTTATGAGAAAGATGGGGACAGACTTTTTAGCAGGGCCTGTTGCGACAGGACAAGGGGGAATGGTTTTAAACTAAAATACTAGATATAAGGAAGAAATGTTTTACACTTAGGGTGGTGAAGCCCTGGCCCAGGTTGCCCAGAGAGGTGGTAGATGCCCCATCCCTGGGAACATTCAAGGTCAGGTTGGACGGGGCTCTGAGCAACCTGATCTAGTTGAAGATGTCCCTGCCCATGGCAGGGGGGTTGGACTAGATGGCCTTTAAAGGTCCCTTCCAACCCAAACCATTCTATGATTCTATGATCTCCAGTGGGATGGAGCTGCGGTGGGACAGAGCACACAGAGGCTCCGTTCGGGATGCTCAGGGCAGTGCTCCTGATCCTGTACCCCATATCGGTTCTCTCTTGCTGCTTTTTTCTGGGGGAGCTGCCAGCAGAGTTGGGATTTCTCACCCCCAGTCTTGCGGGGTGAATCCCAGCACGAATCCTCTTTTATCTGCTGCTATTCATGGGAGATCAAGCAGGAGGGTTTATTTCTTGCCTTCCATGGGCTTGTGGCAGGGCATGGAGTAGGTGGAGCAGATCCGGAGCAGAGGTTGGGATGCACCCTGAGCTGGGGAGCAGAGGAAGGTGCTGGGGACAGGGATGGGCAGAGGAGATGGTGTCCGGTGGGAACAGCACAGGGTGCCCCATGGTCCATTGGTATGAAGCCTGAATGCTTGACTCGAGGGACTGAGCTTTTGGAAGGTGAGAGGTGATGTGGGTCGGTGTGGGATGTCCCCTGCAGAGTGGCTGGGGATGCTCAGGGACCTCCTGGCCCCCGTGTCCCCACTCACGCTTGCCCCTGCCTTGGGGCACGCCTGCTGTCTCTGCTCCTGCTGCATTTTTGCAGTTGGAAAAGCAGCTCCTGCTTTTCCAAACAGGGATGGTGCTCAAAATCCATTGCACCTGCTGCCCTTTGTGTTGCTAACGGAACAGTAGGTCCTACAATAATACAGGCAGCAGGATGGACAGGCACCTGGCTGGCAGCGTCCTGGGCTCTGTCTTTTCTAACCCTGTCCCTCCTTTGCTTTCTTCGTAGGTGCCGGCGCCTGCCCGGGCAAAGGTGGCCGTGATGGCTGAGGGCAGAGAGCTCATCCTGGTGCTGGAGAGGAACCAGTAAGTGTCAGGGCTGGGGAAGGGGCATTGGGTGTCCCTGGCATGGTCCCACCTGGAGCGGTAGCATCCTGGCCGCCCTGTTCTGGCTCTCCTGCCCGCAGGGGAAGGGACAGTTCGGTGTGGCTTCCTGCCGGCTGTGGCCGATGTGGCAGTTTGGGCTGAAATGCTCCTTTTTCCACTGCCCACACCCATGTTGTGGAAGAAACAGCCTTGGCTCGATGCCACGGTGCAGGACCCAGCACGGGTGAAGGCGGCGTGGGGTGCTTGGGGGATGGAGATGTGCCAGGCAGAGGGTCAGCGGGATGGGGGACTCCTGGGCTGCCATCCCTCTGGTAGGACTAATCCTGTGAGGTCTTTGGAGGTATCTCATGGTGGGCAGTGCTGACTGCTGGCAGGGATTTGGAAACCTCTGCTGCTCTTCTGTTGGACTGGTCTTGGGTTTGGC